ATTATCTTAAAATTTCGACATGTCTTTTTTTGTGACACTGAACCGGTCATCAAACTCTTCGCATTGTTGGTAACCCATAATGACAAATGAATACCTTTACAAGAATTAAATATTTTTTTTAGATTTGAAAGCAGTTACATGCTTAAAAATAAAAAATATAATAAAGTATTATTTGCTAGCGAGTGACGAAATATCCGCATTGCATGCATAATCAGCGTTAATTTGAAAGAGTTGTAAACGACAGAAACAACCTAATTAATGTGCCGGCTTGTAGTTACGATACTATCCATTGTAATGTATATTATTATATAGTACGCATTAGGTCGAGGAAATCAATGGCGCAGGTGGTCAGCGCGTTACGCTGCGATCGTTGAAGTTAAGCAACTTTCGCAGTGGTTGGTCATTGGATGGGTAACCAAAAATTTACTATCTCGAGCTCCTCCGTGCTTTGAAAGGCACGTTAAGCCGTTAGCCAATCCGTACTGGGCCCGCGTAATGGGTCATGGCCCAATCTCCCTATTCCATCCATAGGGAAGTCCTCTGCCCCAGCAGTGGGGATATTTATAGGCTGATGATGATGCTGATGATGGTGCTGATTATAATGACGCATTAAGTACGCAAAACGTTATAGTGTATACTTAAGTTCCACGCGGTCCAGGCAGCAGACGGGACTCGAACCCTCACCCTCCGCTGTATGTGCGTGCGGGTTCGAGTCACGATTGCCGCATGGACCGCAAGGATTTTTTCCTACATTGAAAAATATTCTTTAGATATATAAATGTAGCAGTTAAATGCTTAAAGTGAATATAATAAATAATAATAATAAAAGCATTTATTTCAGACACGAAATTCATGTCAAAATTATATAAAAACAATACAACAATTACATAAAAATAAATAATAATAGCAATAAAACAATTCAATTAAATACACATATGTCAAATTAAATGGAAATCATATTGAATTAAAAACAATTAAATTAAAACAGAATAAAATAATTTAAAACATTCAGTCAAATTTTGTTCAATTATTAATTTAAATTCTCAATTTATCTGGAATTGTAATTTGTACCCAACGTTTATTGGGTATTGGTCGTCATCAATCTTTCCGCCAAACTCGTGATAATATTTTTATCACACTTGCAAACTCGAGACATAAGAGAAGCTACCCGTTTCCTTTGAATGGAATTAAACGAGTCAACGCGTGCTTGTGTAAACATTTCAGAGGTACTACAATACCGCGTGTAACCCATTAATTGCCTAAAGATGTTGTTGCAGGCAACTCTAATTCCATCATGGGACTTTTTTGTGTAATTGGTCCAAAGTTGACAAGTGTAAAAACTTTGGCAAAAAGATCTATATAGTGTTACCTTCACGTCAGGCGCCGGTTTCGCAACTTTTCTAGTAATCATATTACCAAGTACACATAAAGATCTACGCTGTCGTTCTATGTCTGCGTCATCCCTAAGGCTAGAGGTTACTACATGGCCAAGATACCTAAAACTGTCCACTATCTTCACCTTTCGTCCATTTAAGAAGACATCAGGGATATTTTCGGGTCCCTTTCCAGATTTAAACACCACCATTTCTGTTTTTTCCGAATTGTAAGTAAGGTTGTGAGCTGTGGTAAAATTTTCACAAATTTTTAAAAGTTTCCTCAAGCCCTTGATCGAGGGACTAAGCAGGACCATATCGTCCGCATAACTCAAGTTGTTGACTTACCTGTCATCCAGCCTGAGACCGACCGGGGTGCCACTCAGTTTCTCGATCAGTTCATTCACGTAGATGTTAAACAGATCCGGAGAGGTCTTACTCCGCAAGAGAGGCGATAAGGATCAGGCATTTGACAGCCCCACCTGACATTATTACTTTGATTCTGATACCAGTACTCAAGAAGATCCGTAACAGAAGCTGGAATACCCGTATTGCGTAACTTTTTCCACAGTAGGTCATGATTAAGTGTATCAAAAGCACGAGACAGATCTAAAAAACAAGCAAATACTGTAATATGATAAAATATATCTCAGTAGATTTACATCGTATCTTCAAGATGAAAAGTAAATATATTGTTTTAAACTTTCATGGTTACTAACTTTGTAGCAATTTATGTCATTTACGGGATTGTTACTATGTATCTTATTTTTTGAGAGTTTCCGATATTTCGGCACTGTTGCACGCGCCATTATGACGGAGAATCGATATATTGGAAACTCGCTAAAACATGGTACATGGTAACAATCTCGTAAATAACATAAAATTACTATAATGAAAAGTCAATGTTTTACAGGTCGCGGCACGTAACTATAGCGCTGAACAAAACGTGGAGGGGATAGCTGCGCATGAGTACGACTGCAGAGCCAATCGGCGCAACGCAGACCCACACCTCGTTTCCCCCCAACACATCTTAATTTTTACTTCTGCGCAATAACCGTCAGCGCTAGAGTTTCGTGCCGCGATTTATACTAACGCAGCTTTCAAAGTTGAGCGTTCCCTTCTCCTATTGCGACTCCGTTTGATAAGATATAGTTTTATGGTCAATTCAGGTGTTTATCTTACCCACCATGACTAGTGCTAAATATAAATAAAAATATTTATTCCACAATTTAATTTACAGTAGATTTTTATAATCGATAATCGATAGACAAGAAAATAAATATACTTTTTTAAAAAAATAGAAAAACGGGAAATCGTAATCTTTGTAGATTTTTTTTTATTTAAGTAAATTACAAAAATCAAAAATGCAGAAATATATCCTTTTCACTCAGCATTTTACTGGTTATGACACTTCTCGCATACTATAGGACCACATAATATATAATTTAAAGTTTATGTAACCCAAGGCGTAAGAGAGTTATTATCAGTAGTATTTATTTATACCTGCGATTTACACATTTTTTGTAATATTTTCAATCCTTATGATTGTTACACAAATTATGTGTAAAATAATCTCAATAAACCTGGTAAAGCATAGTTTATGATGCAAAATATTAATTACTTATACATAGTTTTTAACGGGTAATGCACGAACTTTATTTATTTATTGACGCTTCGATGACTTTTTTAACTAAAATAACTAATAAATTCATACATCTTTATATATATAATTCTTCTGTGAGTGTGTATGTCACTGAACTTCTCTTAAACGACTGGACCGATTTTGATGAAATTTTTTGTGTGTGTTCAAGGGGATCTGAGAATGGTTTAGATTCACAATTTTGTCCGCTGGACAATGTTTTTTTAATTAATTTTTAATTTATTAGTAGTTGTTGATTTTGGAATGTTTTACATTGGATCCGACAGACGGCGCTACCATACTAGACAGGACAACGTCTGTCGGGTCCGCTAGTAGACAATAAATTTTTAAAAATCTTCCAATGAAATATCCTAACGCTCAATAAAAGTCTTTCGAAGGTAGCTCGACAAAGTAAAAAAAAATCATTATTCTGACGATGAAGACCTGAAAAGGCTGCGAAACGTCAATAAATAAATAATTTCGTGCATTAACCCGTTAAAAACTAGTTTTATTTAATCAGTGATGTGCGTAAAAACCTAAGAATAAAATACTTATATATTTATTAAGCATTTAACTGGTGGATGTTCAAATAAAAAGAAAATTTTACTAGAAATTTAATTTTTAATAAAATTTTCTTTAGTTTTCGTTAGTTTTTAGACCGCGAATGACCGTGAGTGAAATAATGAAAAATATCAAAAGGATCAGAAAGGGTTTATTAAAGTTGACACTTACACTAGTATAATACAATTGATTGATTGATTGAGCAATGCATTTTGCTCAATCTAACTACACATTATACATTTCAATTTTACAGAAGAATGCATCTTGTTAATGAAAAAACTACTATGCTACTATAATAATGTTGTGTACATTATCATTATGTTATTAGACCTAGTTAAGTTGCGTCCGTGTAACGAGTTTAAGTTACGTAACTGTAACTTTAAAAGGAGATGAAAAAAAAACGCAAACTCGTTGATGTCATTTCAAGCTGTTATGCGATCGATGCGAGCAGCTGTGCTTTTCTGTAAAATTTTCACGCGCGGATCCGTTGTGGATCCACGCCGATTTATATCGGAACAGCGCGGATCCGATGTGGATCCGTGGAAATTTTACAGAATAGAACTGAAGCTTACGAAAGGCAACTGCTAATTATGCACACCTGCTTCTTAATTATATTCTATACTAAGCTTACTAAGTAAAAATTATTATAAAGCCACATGATTTATTAAGTCTGAGTAGGACATTTTTGAAAGCATTATTTATTCAATTATAACGTGCGGAAATCCTATATGCGTGTCCGTCGATAAAGTATTTTTTTCTATTATTGACAATTAAGTACCTACTTAATTTTCTATAATTTTATTTTACAAATCGTAATATTTTATATTCATTAATATGTTAAATTTTATTTTACAAACCTTAAAAGTATGTATTTCAATAATTATAATAAATATTCAACTGACACGTTTACGTTTTGTTTTTGAATATGTACTGCTAACAGTTTTAAAAGCATACTTCATACCAATTAACGCACCCGCGAACAATAATATCTGAAGCATTTAACGCGTGATTACAATTACCCAACTTGATTTTAAATTAGTTTTACTGTGAAATAAAAACTCCTTAATTCTACGATATGGATAGAAATCGAAAATTAACAGATATCACATTATGTTGACACGCTATATCGCGTCTTGTATGTGTACCTACCAGAGATAAGCGATTTCAAACTAAGAATCGATTTATAAATGTTTATGTTAATTTTTATAATCCATCGAGCTTAACTTCCCACTTTCATATGATGTTTCAATGACCTTTCTTAATACAAATATCAATTTAATTAAATAAAAATAAGTTTGACTTTCCATTTTTTTAAAAAGCTCTACATTCTAATTATGAACATTTTTCAGAATTCTACGTTTCGTTTTTCAAAATTCATTCAATTTAAAAAATATATCATATGTAAATAATAATAAAAACCGACTCACCGTAAGGAAGACGAATAGGAGCACAGATAAAACAAAGAAAATCCAAACAACTTTCGATTTTCGAACACCGCTCTCGGTTCACGGGTCACTTTTGGCGCGGTTCGCGGGCGTCAGAGGAACGTGTGGCTACGTCCCGCGCGTGCAAGCGACTGGCTGGCGAAAAGAATTACTCCAAGAATGGGTTGAAGTCGGTTGAACCGAGCGAGGTGTTCTGCGTTCATTACCCTGGCATCCATGAAACTACGCCAGTTCGCAACTTTAATCAAGGTAAACGTATGATTTTAGTGCGATCAAACAAGCTCTGAAAGCATTTTTAGATTTTAAATTGTGTGTGAGTAAATTAAAGCAAAAGCTTTTTTGAAGTGTCTCACTGAAAGTTAAATAGTACATTGGCGGTGTTGAGTACGGGGTTCCAGGGATCCACTCCAGGGTCGAAGTTAAATGAATGAATGATTTATTTTTCTCTCACAAAGTAACATTATAATTAAGTAAAAGTGTATTGAATGACAACAACAATAAAAACAAAACAAACGGTTGAAACAAGCTTGCGAGTTACTCTTCGTTTATTATTACCCTATATCAATGAGACTACGCTAGTTCACTGCTTTAATCAAGGTAAATCATACTATGATTGAATAAGGTCTGAAAGCGATAAATTGCGATTGCATAAGTTAGAGAAAAGCTCTCTTTGGAGTGTCTCAAGACTGCAGTAACTACCTTATAGTGGTGTTGGTAAGAAACACTTTAGGGACCGCGGTTAAAAGGAACTTTTATCCGCGGACTTTTTTATCCGTTATTATATAAAATCACTTACAACGGCATTGAGCAACGGACACGACGGATTGAAAGTAGCACCAACGAAAGGTCCCCCGAATAACGGATCACACTTGTCTGCGCAAGCATTAAGTGCTTCGACACATGACTGCAAATCGGCATCACGAATGCACCGCAAGAACCCTTGTACAATCGTTGTTGTAGACATGGTGATAAAAAACTCAAAAGCTCTTTAAATGAAGCTATGCTCATTCTAAAATAATAATAAAAAATATCTTCTGTTCTCAAACCACAGTATTTTCGATTAAAATATTTCCATCAGCGTTCATAATCATAATAAATGGATTAACCCAAAATCTTCTTTTTCTTCTACATCTATTTAACAATAACAGCAGTGCAACAATATTTTTGGAATCCATGCCACTATTACTTAAATACGTCCAATACGGCTGGCTACCGTTGAAGGTATGTTCACCTTTTAACCAAAACTTTGCTGCACGAAATCGCATCGCATCGTATCGCAGTTTTGTGTAGGTTGAAACCACAGAACTTATAATAAGAGGAAACCTTAGGGCTCCCCGTAGCAAGAGCACCACAATTTTACATTTTATCACGTTTTTTCGTTAAATTAATTGAGCGTGATACAAACGAGCTATATACTTTATCACGACGTCATGCTAGGGGGACTGGACCACGCAAAATGGGATTGGCCTCAAGCTGGCAAGATGAGAGATTCTTTCTCCTCCTTGCTTGCATTGTAAGCATGACGAGATGATTCTTCCTCCATAAGAGAGTAAAAATCTCATCATCATCTCATCATGCATTCGTATACAGAGGAGAATGCCAACGGCCAAAACCAATTCCAAAAAACCGGCCATCATCACCACACCGTCACCAGCCGGTTGTCATCACAATATATTTTAGCAAAAGTCTATAGTTATAATTTTTATTTTTTAAGCATGTAACTGCTTGATGTTTAAATCTAAAGAAAATATAAGTAGAAAAAAATCCACGCGGACTAGGCAGCACACGGGACTCGAACCCGCACCCTTCGCTATCCGGGCAAATGCACTGACCATTTAAACTTCCGCGGCCCTGACGGCCGCGCCGAAATTCCTCTAGCCATTCTTAAGCTGCAGGGCAGCGCCATCCCGTCGCATACACAATATCTATATATTAAGCAATTACTTCGCCTAAGTCACTTTTAATGTTTTGTTTTAAGGAGTTTTTATTAGGTCAAAAATTTTTTGAAATTGAACGACTATATCTCTTAAACTATCAAATCTATTTTAACCGTTGTAATTTTATAACAATAAAAGACACCGACGACCAACAAAGATGAACAATAAATAAATCTAATTAAATTTTACTAAAAAAAATCCACGTGGATCAGACAGCATTCGGGACTCACAACTCGAACCTCCGCTATCCGGGCGAATGCACTGACCATTAAGCCACCGCGGCCCTAATTTTCCGTATAGATTTTTCTCTAGTACTCCTTAGGTTGCAAAGCAGGGTTCGAGTCCCATCTATACAGCCTGGTTTGCATGTATTTTTTTCTAGTAAAACTTTCTTTAGATTTAAACATCTAGCAGTTAAAGTTGCTTAAAAAAGCAAAGGCTAAGAACAATAGAAGGATTCTAATATTGTGTAATTATAGTAAAATCATATTGTATAATTATGTTTAAGGATGGTTTAATTGAGATTAGCTAACCATGTGCCATAATGCGACCAGACCGGCTAGATATTTATCGCTACACTGCTCACCAATTGCTTGACTACTGCGCCAATTGACTGACACAGTGTTTAATTATAGTTCACTGTAACAAATTATGGCTATATGCGGAAAAAATCATATTTGACAGACGTAAAGCCTTTAGATTTTTTTTTATGTCCATGTACTCGCTTGAGGACGTGCCGTTTCTAGAAGTTACTTTAAAAATGCCAATACTTGATAGCGCAAGTGGTTAGCACGTTCGGCTACGATCGTTGAAGTTAAGCAACTTTCGCATTGATCGGTCATTGGATGGATGACCAAAAATCTTCTATCTCGAGTTCCTCCGTACTTCGGAAGGCACGTTAAGCCGCTGGTCCCGGCTGCATCTGCAGTCGTTAGTACCCGCCAATCCGCACTGGGCCCGCGTGGTGGGTCATGGGCCAATCTCCCTATTCCATCTATAGGGAAGGCCTTTGCCCCAGAAGTGGGGACATTAATTGGCTGATGATGAAATGCCAATACTATTAAAGCTTATCAGGAAGACTACATTTTAGTAAATATTGATTGGATAATTTTTAAAGCCTTAAATTTACGAGTTCTTAAGACACTTTTGATGTGTAGAAAGAAGATTTGTACAATTTTAGAGTTACAAAAGCGCAATATATGTAAGTTATTGAAAATTTCTTGTTCCGAGATATTCTTCATTAGGGTACAAGCGACACAGTTTATTATAATTGCGTCAGTCTTGTTGCATCGACCAAAAGTTTGGCAAAACACATTTGGCAATATTACAATAATGTGCATATTATTGATGTAAATTAAGTAAGACAGATCAGGTTTTCCTCTGCGGCTTTGATGACATGTTGGTCCCTTGAGCAATTTCTATTTGGATCTTACTTCGAATGCCTGTAGGAAGTCTTGCTAGAGCCAGCCAGCTATATTTTTTTATTTTATGTTTGTTTGGGAAACAAATAATGAAATAATACTTATACCTAGATCTTCCTAGAACAAAACAAACATCAGTAAAGTTTCCACTATGATATAAAACATAAATATTAAGATATATATTTCAGATAGTTAAAATCGAGAAAGAAAAGAAAACGTAAACAATTTTATCAATAAAAAAAAGTTACAAGTTTTGTAAGTTACAATTAATAATTATGAACTATCCACGGGAACTATCTACATATTATATCGTGGATATAAGGCTAAGGATGGTTACAAACATTCAGCCTATGTTGTTATTATCTTTTTTTTTTGATCTGTACATTGGTAGAATTGTTTATTTTACTATTGTTTAAAAATAATAATCTTAGGCCCTGCCAGAATCATCAGCGCTGCAGCAGCCCTGGTGTTGCTGTAGTATCAAGCTGAGGCAGGGACCTAGTTGGCCATTTTTTTTTTATCGTTTTTATTTATGTTAACAAAACTGTTTATGGTCAATAAAATTTATTTATTTATTTCTTCTTTCTTTATATATTTTTTCCAATGATTGGTAGAACAGTTAAATATATCGATTGATGTGAACCTATTGTTATATTCAGTACAAGACCTTAACACAAAAGTATTAGTTTATATTATATAAATATTTGGTAATAATTATAAGCAAACTAAATAAACTTTCTAGACGGGAGCCCGCCCGAGGGCATCTTAAACCAATGCTATTCAAAAGGAATGGAGAGTCAAGGAGATTGTTCATAATTTTATGAAGAAAGTCTTGATTGATCTCTCTCAACACGACGATCCATTAAGGAAGAAACAATTATCACAGGTTCACAGGTATATATACACTTAAGAAGACTTTGTTTGCGACTAATCGTCATCATCATCAGCCTATTAAAGTCCCCACTGCTGGGGCACAGGCCTTCCCTATGGATGGAATAGGGTGGTTGGGCCATGACCCACCACGAGGGCCCAGTGCGGATTGGTGGGTGCGACTAATGATGATGCTGAACGACAGATGCAGCCAGGACCAATGGCTTAACGTGCCTTGCGAAGCACGGAGGAACTCGAGATAGTAATTTTTGGTCACCCATCCAATGACCGACCACTGCGAAAGTTGCTCAAGTTCAACGATCGCAGCCGAACACGCTAACCACTTGCGCCATCGAGCTCCTCTTGCGATTAATAACCTAATTATATATTATTATATTGTTTTTTGACTTCCATGCTCACTAACACAATACGGCTACCCAAAACCAGAGCTACATTTAGAAAATTTTACAGGGCGAGCAGAAATGTGTTTTTGCCCGTCTTTATCATATTTAAAAGTAGTGTAATTAAGTGTTATACATCAATCAAAGCGTAATTTATTGCCTTTTTTACATAATTCATTTAAAACGCTTTAGTGTTAAAAAGAATACAAAATATATCAATTTTTGACCTAGTATGGAACAAATCCTGTTCTTTCTGATAAGTACCAGACTAAAAACTAACACAAAACACAGTATCTCTTATTCTAGCCATATACCAGGTTTTGGTCTTTTTTTTTTCTTGAGCGACTTTTTGTTTTCATATTTAATTCAGATTTAATTGATTTCGTTTTTGAGACATACTGTGTTTTGATGTGGTTTTTAGTGATATTTTGTATCTTACTAACTTCTTAAAATAATTCAGGCTCAAAGCGACGTAGCGCTACGAGGACTTATT